TTGTCAAGGACAACGTGGAGCGTTCAGCAATGCTGATGTTGGAGGAAGACACCGAAGACCGGCGGATCCTTCTGCAAATAGGTGCGATTTCAGTCAAGAGAGCATACGACCTGCAGAATCCGATTGTGGCCGAGCTCTATTCACCACCACGGGTCACTGCGGAGTTGGGCCAACGAGGTATCGGCAGTGGTGTGGCTCTGGATTTGACTACGGTGGATAAGTTTGGGCGGCCCTGGAATTTTTGTGATGAAGATTGCAGGCAGAGAGCGGAGGAGTTGATAGAGTTCCTGAGGCCAGATTTGCTTATTGGTAGCCCACCGTGCGGGCCATTTTCGCAGATACTGTTTTTGAATCAAACGAAATGTGATCCTGCAGAGATGCTGAGAAAGGTGCAAGAAGGACGAGAACATTTGAGGTTTTTGAGGTTTTGCTGCAAGCTGTATTTGAAGCAGATTGAGCGAAAGAAATTCTTTTTGCATGAGCATCCTGCTAGTGCGTCTTCATGGCATGAGGAAGACATTGCGGAGGTGGAGCAGCAGCCGGAGGTCCAGAAAGTCACAGGGCACATGTGTGAGCAAGGGATGACGCTGGAGGATGAGCATGGCGTGGGCTTTGCCAAGAAGCCTATCTGTCTTGCACATCTCACCTGAGATCCTCTCTTTGCATGCACGGCTATGTTGCTTGTGAGATAGACCGTGCTTGGCAGCTTCACAACCGTCGCAGCCCTCCGTGTAGCCATAGGCCTCAAGCTCCACATCTCTCCGTATGTAGATGCCTCGAGGAACATACTTCTTCTTCTCTTCCACTGCAACCTCTTTCAGCTCGTCTCCATCACCTGCACCAACATCGGGAACCTCGATCTCGATATCTGCAGGCGAAAAGTTTCTCACATCCGCTTGCAAGCCAATCCGTGGTTTCAACTGCCAAGGCAATCCGACGAACTTCTCCACCATCTCTTTCTGCCACTTCTCTTCATCCGGCCGTCTCTTGATCGTCCAAGTGCGGACCACACCGTCCGGCGTGCCAATCCACCTCATACCCGATCCTTCTTGAATACCCAGAAAGATCCCCGGCTCAACTTCGCGTCCAACTTGCTCGCATCCCTTTCACCCTTCACCGGCTCGCAAAAGACACACTCGCCAAACTCAGGAAGCGCAATCCTCCACCGTTTCCCGGTCGACCTTTCATAGCCCATGAAACCGTCTGGTCCCCTTTGAAACCTGGGCAGAAGCGTTCCACAGTAATCGACCAACCAGCAAAGTATAGGATGCCTCGGCGAAAACCTCATCTGACACCGCGACTCCAAGCAGCTCTTCAAAGTCCGAGCTTGTCCTTGTAATCGCCCAACCGCAGACTCAAAAGGCCCATTGGTCTGCGACTCACCTTTCACCGCATCTTCACACCCAACTCCAGGAACACGAAGTTGCACCGCATTTCTCAGAGCAACTAATGACCGCTCCGTGTCCGACTTGAACACGGCGAGGTTGGCATCTGTACGACCCAGATATTTCACCAGCTTCGTCACAACTGCCACATTGCACTGGTGCTCCACACCCTTGCTTGGTAATGCCACTGAGAACATCCTCATCGACGGCTCATCCAAAATTGCCAGAAGCGGTAACGCATCCTCCTCCTTGTTTGGATTCTTCTTGGTGAGGTAGAAGTAATCCATGCTCACCCTTGGTCTCACTCTCTCCTCTTTCTTGCCCTTCGCAGATTTCATCGAATGCTGCAAAGATCTACCTTTACCTCTCGTGCAGTGGGGACAGCATGCCCGATAAGGAACATGACTGACGTAGTGTTGCCGTACTTCTTCTGCGCTTGGCTTGATAGGCATCTTTTGTCCCAGCCGAACCAAGTCCTCCTCAAATCCTCATGCATTCCACCTCCATCACCGGGAAACTCATCTGCTGCATCACCCAATTCTGCAAGATGTAGCAACAGATCTTCACCATCGTCATCACCTCGCTCAGTGGGTTGATACAAATCACTCCGATTGTCCTCTTCATCGTCTCGGCCCTCTGCAGATAACTGTCCACCGCCCTCGGCTTGCACTGCACAAATATTTGCACCGGGACTTACAGCACTGCTGGGCTCACCTCTTCTCACATGCTCTCGGCTTCCGCCCGACCTGCCCGCCAAAACCCGCGTCTTGACCATCCACCACCTTCAGCCGTTGCACATAGACACCTTCATGCTGATACAGCCTCATGCGCTCACCTGTCACCACATCCTCAATGTAGCTCTCCTTGTCCAAGCACAATACGGTGTCCTTTGTTCGCCACCTGAGCTGCTGACATCAAAGGCTGGTGAACCTCCGCCACGGAAAACTGCGTGGTCCGAATCTGCTCCTCCTCCGTAATCACCAGTGGGCTCACCTCCTCCAGTGGGCTCAGTGAACCATCTCACCATTGGCTGAAAGAAAATTCATACCTGGGTCCGGCGCCTCTTCTCGTAATCCGGAAAAGCATTTGCAGGACAAACGGATGCCGCCGCACCACTATCCAGAGTGACCAGAATACCACGCGTCCCTACATACTCATCACCATAGGCAGATGTCGCGGTAGTCCCCCAATTGCCCTGATTGCACCACCTCCTAGAAAGCGCACACAAATGTTTGACCACCAAACTGCCCATCTGCACCGGGTTGCCACTCGCTTGCGCTGATCCTGTGCCTGCACTGCAAACTGATGCCGGAGACACAGGTGATGTGGGAGCTGTCAAAGTCGGTGCTGCAGTTGTCATACGTTGGAACTCTTCTGCAGCTGCTTTGGCATACGCTGACTGTAACTGAGAAAGACGGGGGTCTTGCTTCTGCTCCACCGCATTCAAACCTTTGGGCTTTGACCAGCACTGATCCTTGAAATGCCCCGGTTTCCCACAGTTGTGGCAAACCGCATCTTTCCCCTTTTTCCCAGCACCTTTGGATTTGCCAAAGTCTTTTCCACCTCCTTTGAATTTCCCCTTTTTGCCATGATCTTTGCCTCCCTTACCTTTGTCTCCTCCACCTTTCTTGCCTTTGCCCTTGCCCTTGCAGTCCTTCATCAAATGCGGACCGCCACACAAAAAGCATCCTCCGCCTTTCCCCACACCGAGATCCGATGTCCATGGCTGCTTGTGCAACCGGCGCCACCTGATCCAAATATGAGAACACCTCCTCCCTGAGCTCTATGAACGTTACGATCCTATTCTCCCACGCCACAATTTCAGCTGCCAGCTTGTCCAGTGAGATGCCCTCTTGCGGGTTGGTGATCTTGATCAACTGAGCTCTCTGCCGTCCAATCGTCACCGGGTTGAATCTCACCTGCAAAAGTCTGAAAGCTTCAAATCCGTTCGGTCGCCTTGCTTGCCGGACCAAACTCCTTGCTTCGCCCGATGTGTACGTAGAAAGAATAGCATACACGTTCGTGTTGGCATACTCCAACAGCAGTTGATCCATGTGCTCGTAGAGGGTCTTGATGCTGTTGAGGTCCATGTTCACCTTGGGTTGCTTGTGAAGAATATCTTCCAGCACCTCGTAAACACCCGGCATGCTGCTGTCGCACAGTGTAATAACCGAATCTGTCCAATCCTGAAATGACACCTTGCTATCCTGCGGGTTGAAAATTGCTGGTTTTCCCAACGAGCGACCTCCTCCGATATTGTACACCCTGGGCCCACCTCCAACCGGCCCCGAAAAAGGCGGTGCTGGAGGCACCGTACCTTGCCCAGCTGTACCATCTGCTTGTGCTGTCGGACTCCCCCTCGAGTCTCCGGATGCCGCCCGGCCCTGTGCTGAACCTGCCCCAGTGCTTGCACTTGCAAATACCTGGCCGACCCGGTTCTGCATGTCTGCAAGTGATGCACCCATATGTGTCTGTGTAGCCTGATGCGCCTGAATCATCTGCGTCAGCTGATCTTGTTGCTGCTGCTGTTCACGCGCAAAACCCGACTGTACTTGTTGTACAACCTCAGCCACCACCTGCTCCGTCACTTGCTGTGTGACATGAACTGCCGCTCCCGTCCCCTGCACTGCTTGTCCCAGATCATCTAAACGCTACCGCTGATTCCCTTGCTCTTGTGCAATTTGCTGCAGCATTGCCGCGATCTGAGCCATGTCCGGTGCGCCCAACTGGCCTGACCCATCGCCGGTACCCGACATCATATACCAATCGAAGATCACCGCCAGAAGCACAACCAAAATTGCAAAGATACCTGCTTGCCAACTGCAGACCCTGGCCGACACCTGTTTGATGCCCAAATTCCGGTGTCCCAGGATGATCACCTCTGCAGATTGCTCGCGCAGGAAGGCCTTGCCTCTCGCAGATGCAGAACGGGAGCCGGCACCAGATGCCAGCTCCGCTACCATGACAAAACCTATGACGCACGACCTTGATTTTCCACGGCTTCAGATACATATACTTGATCATAGCCAAATGGCCTGATGCATGCTCATCTCCATGCACTATGGGAAGCCTTGCTTCATATCTTCCAGCCCGTATGTGGTTCTACGCTATAGGCCTCGAAACTTGAGGGGACGGGGAAAGTGCCTCGCAAGCGGCACTCTTGACGCTTCCCTAAGGTGGCAGGGCGGGCCATGGAGTCCTTGAGGCTCTGGCATGCCATGGCTGGCGCGGGCAATCCCCAAGAGTCCCAAGATCGATGAATCTGGAAAACGAAGCCTAGATTGCACTCGTTTCGTGGTGTAGCCCGCATTCAGGGCAGGCGAGGATTCGAATCCTTGATAAAATCGTGACAGAACCGAGAATGCTCAAAAGCCAGCAGACTCAAACTCAAATAAAGCGATGCAGATTGCAGAACAAGTTGTTGAAACAGCACATTCCTCATCTTTTCCACTATCCTGGATGTACAAGAGCTGCTGACAGCTTGAGCCCACTGGCTTGCGGGGCCTGGCTGTCAAACTCTCCATCCCGCTAAGCGGGATGGCCCAAGTTGCCAAGGCATTCTGCGCCCCTAGCCGGTGCTTGGATGCAGCTGATGGTGCTGGGGTCGGCTCCAGCCTGGTGTTGGGTGAAGAGGAAGGCTTCGAACGTGGACTGGCAGAGGCGCCACAACTGCCCTATTCAGAATGAACCTTGTCGACCAAAGGCAAAACTAGACACCGAGCATCCCGAAAGCGTTTACTGCACAGCAATGAGCTGAAAGCCGCCACATGGCAAAGTTGTAAGGGTAGCCATACTGTGCTGCAGCACTGGGCTGCGCAATCAGTCACTGCGAAAGTAGCGCTGTGCAAGTCTGCAGCGAAAGACCAGCTGAGCAAGTCCCTGCAGTGCAAGTTATCTGGGAAGCGGCTGTGTTTCACTAGCATTTCGATCTCGGCAGAAGGCCTCTCGGTCAGTATCAAAGTGATTGCTGCCTGTTGCCCGTTTAGCGCATAGACTAACAGAATCTCCGCAAGGGCCGCTTGCCGCAAAGGCAACAGTGTGTTTCACAGCGCTTATGGACATCGACCCGGCATCCTTTGCAGAGCGCCGTTGAGTGAGAGCGTTTAGTTCATTTGCGTTTCAGGGTGTTTCGCACCTCAGCACACCCAATCCCTGCAAGGGGTTCATCCGCCTGCCCTTGCCAGACCTACCAGCACGCTAGAAGACACGCCGCGAGCCAGAGCTGTACAAGCACCTTGCAGTGCGACCTTTTCTAGCATACCCTTCGCGATTGTTTTGGAAAATATGTCCCTCACGGTGATGTTTCATGCCCGGGCATACCCTGCACATTTTACTGCATCCAGCAAACAAAATACCCAAGGACGTGCCAATGTTCCTCGCACCTCCTCAAATGCTCAAGCCCGGGCATGCAGCTAGTCAACAAAATACGGCTGACGAGAAGCTGAGATGCAACAGTCACGGCTTGTACCGATGTTGCCATTTTCGCCATACACCAGGGGTTTCATGGCTTTCCTTGCAGATCTGCACGTCCGGCCCGCCTGGCTTGCCTCGCGCGCTCCTCCTGAGTCTCCCAAGGGTGCCCACTAGTGGGGCACAGCCAAGGCAGAATTCATCATTCTACAAAATGCAACAAGGCACCGGCAGCAGCAGGCACGTGAATCCATGCCAGTCCTGCGCGAAGTTCTTCACCATGTCGCGGATGCCTGCCTTCCACTGGAAACCTTCGCTCCGGGCACTGCAAGCTTTCAAGAGATGCCCCATAAACTTTGCTGGCATCAGCTCATGAGCGGTGTCAGCTGTGCCTTGCTTCTGCTCATCGTCATCGTCATCTTCTTCATCGTCCGAGTCAGCGGACTGGTAGGCCCTACCATGTGGAGAGCGGGCTGAAACCTCAACACAAAATTTTAAATATCATTTCCAAGATTGTCATGTGCTGCAACAGGGATGTGCACACCCACACCTACTAGCATTGTCGAAGCAAGCATGCAAATCTTATGGTACTTCAGGATCAAGCCAGGCTACTGTGGCAAAAGCATTGCCTGAGCCAAAGTATGCGGGCTCCCCTCAGGGACTCCCCTCTCCAATACTTTCTCACCAATGTTACGAGCCTAGGAATGCGTACTTGGAAACACATGCCACTAATATGATACGACAACAGTCACATGGCCGCTTTGACCTTTGCCTCGCCAAGGCACCCTAAAAATGATAACACCAACGAAGGGACTTCCAGCACGCGTCAACTTGTCAGCTGATGATGCCTGTAACGGGTGCGGGACGGGATTGGACGTGCTAGGATTCTCACCGTCTATCCTCACAGGAACCACTGGTACCCTTTGAAGTGAACTGACCTGTGGCACGATTTGTCAGCCCTCCATTGCAAGCAAGGTCCACTCAAGAGGGCAGCTTCAAAGTAATGGATTCCCGGCGTTCATGATTCATGCCGCCGGATATTCCTAGCCCAAGGGCCAGAAAACAGTGGGACGACACATGTGCAGCTTGAAAAACAAAGTATGGAGCGAAGCCAATCAGTCTCAATGAATAGTCAGTGCATCTGTGAACAGTGCTTCTTTTGGGCAACGGACCTTTTGCAACCACCTTTCACCCCTCAAACAAAACTGTGAACCCTTGTCCTGTACTTTGCCGCTTGTTCATGCCAGGGTGGCTCGCAAAATTCGAGCACCAACAAGTAGCATGCATCAAACACCCACCCCTGTCCCTTCCAAACTGTCCCATGAACAAATTGCCTGGCCGCTGCCACGTGGGCGCGGGGGTCGCTGCTCCTCGACCGCGGAAAGGATTTGAAGACCTGAGGAAATCAGGCCACCGCGTCCAGCACCAGGTATGTTGCGACAAGATAGCAAAACATGTGCGCACATAAACATGCAGTTTATGTTTATTGTCAAGCCAAACCTTGAAGCCTGAAAAGCTCGACTACCTCTGGAAGGTTGCCTGATCCCACGACAAGCGTTGCTGGCTTTAACCATATGGACTGCAGATCAACAAGTGCGCCCCGCAAGGATTACACCACGCAACAAGGGGGACAGCACCACTCCTGACCATCAAGGGTGTAATTACCTCTGTAGCCAGCGCCTGACTGGAGGGACTCTCAACGTGTCCAAAGGTGCGGCCTGGGGCGGAGCAGCTGCTTCGCTCCTGGCCAGCGCAAGTCACGCCCTCACCAAGCTGATGTGGCTGGCTGAAAAAGTGATGGCTTTGTGAGAGAGCTGAGACTACTGTCGCTGATTGTTCATAACGCTGGCACGGCATGTGAGCCATTGTCAATGCCACATCCCTGCTTGATTCGATGCAACCATTGGGATTCACGGCCGCCTCACAGCATGCCACAGCAGAAGCCAAGGAGCCACGAGCGACTCCTTCCCCTCCCTTAAGCGCAGACGTCAAGCCCCCCTCCCCCAACCAGCCTGGTGTCACTGCTTCTGGCTCTTGCCTTGCTGGCACAACATGTGCCCTGAAAGTTGTCAGCTCTAGCTAACTTGAATAGGCCTTGGAAAATTGCTGAGCACGGGCATCATGCATGAGGGTGAAGCACATGAACCGCGTTGCTGCAAATTTGTGCAATGCGCAAGGCAAATCAGCAATGCCAACGTTTAATGGTTCTATCCATGTTTAATGCAGCTAAGCATCCTGAGCTGTGTGCACAGGCCTCGGTATGTTCTGGCATGTTGGCCTTGCAGTGCGTTGTGCCATGTATGGCTTCCAGCCGGGTCCAGGGCCCGCTTATAGCCATTGTCCACAACACGGCGTGTTCAAGAATCACAAGAACCACAACTGTTTGACAAAGCGGCGTGATGTGCAGCTGGCAATGTACGGCTAGGCCCCAGGCACTTGGGCGACCGCTTGGGCGGGCACTCTTTCAGGGGCCACTGGTGCTCGAGGCTCACGGCTGGTGACCTGCGCCTGCCGGACGAGCACATTCGGCATGGTGCGATGCCCAAACCCTGTGCCGGCCAGTCTGTTTTTTGGGGATCACAACGGCAGGTAAACCAAACAACTCCGCGGGCCAACAAGCCAAACAAATAGGATGTTTGTGGTCTGTCAGGTTGGGTTCGTACCTGGCCATTTTGTTCTGCAGCGCCGAGGAGAAACCATCCAGCTACAGTGCGAGTAGCCTTACAGTATTATACGGGTTGACAAAATAAAATAATAAAGACACAAACGAAGCTCCCCACTCACTCTGGGCCTGCGGTCAGCTTGCACCCTCCCCAACACGTCGTCAGTTGAACTTTACTTGGAAACCTGTCCATTACTAACAAACAAATCCACTAGAGATGGATCATTCATTCCGCATCTAAAGCAAAGCGAAACCACTTCTAATCCAAAGTGGGCATGATGCCACAGGTCTTGGCTTCACAGTGGTCTGCCCAGGAAAATTCAGCGGTCTCTTCCATCAATATTCCAAGAAGCTTCAATAACCCCAGGGCTTGGCCATCATGTGACTCTTTCGAGGCCTTACTCAGCCTCAACAGAACCAAAGCACACCAGCAACACCCCCCGCGCACGCGGGGTGCCAGCCAAGGCCTCGATCCCAAGGTCACGCTTCACCTGCGCAACATAGTCAGCCGCAGAGTCCTGCCAGAACAGAGCCAGAACATTGCGACCAAAACAGGCAAACTGCGTCGAATCACTTCAAGCCCTGGTCCTCTGCGTCTTGGTAGTCCGCATCAGGCCTGGCAAGCCATGCTACGTGGAGATCTCAGCGCAGGCCTGCTTTCATGCACTGACCATGCCTTCGAGATACTTGCGTTTGGCGAGCGGTACGCTTTTTCTTGATGGATTGTGACAGGACACCAATCACCGCCTCCGCAGTAGATCAGGCCCCGCCATTTCTTCTCGAGCATTTCCCGCGTTCTTCGCGCGACAGCCGTTTGGCTGGCTCCCATTGCAGACATGAATTCAACGTTCAAAAGTTCAAATGTTCCCAAATGGCCACGGGACATCCCTGAAAACAGCTGGCAAAACAACCAATTACAACGGACGCCCAGAATAGCCACAAGAAGCGTAAGGTTACAATCCCTTTGACGGCCGGCGCCGCAGCTCGTGCAGCTGCGCAGCGCTCCTCGGCCGAGGGAAACGAGATGTCGGCATAGAGTCTGCTGCAACGCCAGAAGCTCTGCGCGAGTCTCGGGCTGTGCTCGCGGAGGGGTCCCTCCTTTGATGCAACCCGGCGGCCGTTGCCATGTCAATGCTGGCAAGCCGCGGTGCGCTCGCATGGCCCTTGTCCCCAAAATCTTGGAACGCCTCGCTCTCGTCCGGTCGGCCCAGCGGATGTCCAGCGCGGGAGGTCGGCCTGGCTGCGGGCAGTTCTGCAGGCACTCTGCGAAGCCTTTGCCGTGGCTCTGCCTCCACAGGCGGGTCCCGAGGAGGGGAGCGGCACACGGTGCTGCGCTTGGCCTGCGCGGTGCGTGGTACCAGTATCTTGGGATCTCGGCGGGTGGGGGAGCGCGAAGGCGAGTGTGATGGAAGCCGGGTCGCCGACAGCTCTGGGAAGCTTGCGGGCAAATCTGGCGATCTTCCCCGCCCACTGCGGGGGGAGTGCGGCTGGAAAAGCGGGCGAGGGTGTTTCTTGCTCACTCCTTGCAGCCATCCACCACCCAAGGTCAGCACCCGAGGATAGTTGAGCATCGACACCAAGCTCTTGGACCCGGTCGTGTCTGCCCGTGACTCTTCCCGACCTGGTGATGGAGGCAATGATGCATCAACAGTGGATTCTGCAAGGTTGGCAGCATATATTCCTGTCACATCTTCGTGGGATGAGTGAGTCTGCAGTTGCAGCCGTGAGAGTTGCTCCTGCAGCATCTTGATGGATTTCAGCAACTGAGCCTCTCTGACTCGCAGCACCTGAACCTCCAGCTGCAAATTCTGCAGCTGTTCGAGCTGCTCAGTATCCAGGCCATTCTGGGCCAGCCTATGTTCAGCATCCTCTGTCTGTTGTGACTGGTCAGTCCTTGTCACATTGGAAGGGCACACCCTTCCATCCCGGCTTGCTAAGATGGCCTCTCGCTCGCTCGCTTCAGCCTGAGCCAACTTGGCTTGGAGTGCTTGTTCCTGAGCTTGATCTGCAGACGCCTGGGCCCGTGCACAAGCCGCTTCTGCAGCCTCGGCCTTGGCCTTCTGCACCTCCGCCTCCTGCTGCGCCAAGCGCAAAAGCTCCGAAAGGTCCTGGCAGCTCTGCAGCTGCCGCTGGGCATCGAGCAACTCCGCCTGCAACTGCCGCCTCGCCTCTGCGTCGCCGGCTGAGGCCACGAGGCGCTCTGTGGCGTCCGCGTGGGCGGCGGCTGACAGCTCCGTCACCTCCCGCCGAAGTTGCTCAAGCTCCGCGGTCGCCCGCTCGAGGCGGTCGTCCGGCTCAAGGCTCTGCGCCTGCTCCCACAGCACCTCCCGCACCAGCCGCGAAGGGTCCCTCTTCGCGCTTAACTCCTGCAAGGATGTCCAACATCAAAAAGCAAATTCACATTAATGAATGATTCAAAGTTTATGACCCGTCCTTCAATTGGGCCTCCAGCCTTCGCTGCGTCTCCAGCAACTGCATCTTCTCCTCTTCTGCCTTGCCTTGTCGAGCCCTCAAGCTCGACAACTCCTGCTCCAGCAGCTGGATCCGTTCCTCTTTCTGCTTCCCTTGCTCGTCCGCTTGCTGCTTCTCCAGCTCCAACTGCGCCAGCGACTCCTCTAAGCTGGCAAGGCTTTGCTGCGCCGCACTCAGCTGCGTCTGTAAAGTCTGATGCTCGTTTTTGAGGCGCTTGACCTCCTGACGGCTCTCCTCCAACTCGGCTTCCGTCTCCTCCAGGATCTTCTCCGCGCGCTCCAACTTCTGCTGCAGGGGACCTACCCTGTCAGTCATGCGCCGCTGCTTCAGCTGAGCGTTGGCCTCCTCTAATCGCGCGATCTCGCCCTGGAGGCCGAGCAAGTCAAAGTCTTTTCGCTTCAGCGCCTCTTGGCACTGAGCCTCCTTCATCTGAAGCCGCCTCTCGTACTCCTCCTTCACGTCTTCCACACTGCGGCGCTGCTCATCGTAAAACTGCACATCGTGCTCCAGCAACTCCAGCAGTTTCTGATCACCTGGCAGGGCTGAAACGTGCGCAAAAAGTATGTCGCACAGATTTGTCTGCACTGCTGGGGAAGGCGGGCCATTCGGTGGAGAACGAGGGGCAGCTGCCAACAAGCTGAACAAAAAGCCACCAACCAGCCTCTCACACTTGAGCGGCGCCCAATTTAGTCCTACTAACATGGCCATTAAGGTTTATATGGGCTTTACTACTACCATGGCCAACAGGCGTGTTGGGCGCTGCCCACTTGGTTTCAGTGGAGCCTGCCTTTTTTCACCGCATAGGCTCTGATCAGGCTCAGCCTCTGCTTGAAGATGGCGCGTTCACGCAGAAACTGCCTCTTCCGCTCCTGAAGTTCGGCCAGCACGTGACTGCACCTGGGTGGCACGCAGTTGGCCCAAAAACGACCTAAGAAAACGATATATATATATATATATATATATGGAGATTCCAGTCGCCTATCAGCTAGCAATCGCTTTTGTCCAAACAAGTGCTTTGTGCCTTTGGCCTTTTTGGGACCTTCGGGAGGGAAACAAAAAAGAGGCTCATCTCTCTCTCAGGAGCTTCGTTTCCAGCTCAGTGTTCTGCTTGTCCTGCCGTTCCAGCCGCTCCAGCAAGGGCTCGCACACCCGCCATTCCTCGCCCTTGCCGCCCTTGTCTGCGACTTGGTTGGCAGTCGCCGGGCGCCTGGGCTGCTTGGACCCCACCTCGTTCTGTTGCCAGCGCAGCACAAGATCTGCGAAGTTGCTGAAGTCCACCATGATCCTGCACGCATTGCAGCACCCAAAAACGCGTTGCCCGCAAAACGGTCGATTGGATAATCTTGCCCTTTCACCCTGCCACACATTCACATTGCCACGGGCTGCCAGGAACCTCCACCGCAGCTGTGAACCAAAGGACCGTGAATTCCCACACCCGCCCACCTGCCCACCCAGTGTAATCATGGCCCCGAAGTAAAACGGAACCTGACAGCAAAACTCGCAAAATCTATACGCATCCTGGAAAGGACTGTGACGATGTACGCCGCCAGGTGCTGACCCTCCTCCGCCGGCTTCTCCTTCAGCAGCCGGCCCTTTTGCTGGATCACTGACAGGTCGTCCCCCATCTTGGGCAGCCGTGGGCTCTTGGCTGAGGGGTCAAAAAGGTTCTGTACCTCAGTCTGCTTCTGGAGCTTGGAGTGGGGCAGGTTCAAAGCATCAGCCCAAGTAATCAAAAAACGCACTCACCTGAACGAGCACCCAAGCTTCAGCCAACAAGTCCCTGCGTGAATCCCAGCTATTCTGAACTGCTTCCACACCTTCGCAAGCAGCAGTTGGCCCTGCCTTGTGGATCAGCAGCTTCTGCAGCTCGCTCTGTGCCACCTCGAGCGAGCAAAGGCAGTGACACAGGCGAAGCCATCCCAAGTCTCAACAAACTCAGCAAGCCACGGCTCTTGCACTGTTGAACTTATTGAACCCTTCACTCCACGCTTCCCCAAAGCCCAGGCCCCTGCCTGCAAGATGCGGTCGAAGTATTTCTGCGCCTCTGGGCTTACTGTGCGCTGCACGACCTCCACGGACTGCCACAAGCCCAGCCCAGGCTCCGCCCCATTGAGCACCCGAGAGTATGGCCACCGGGCCGGCGTCGGCATGTTTACATCTACCGGAGCCATGGCTTTCTTTCCGGGGCTCGGGCGGCGCGCGCTACCCAAGGGATTAAACGCAGGAAATACGGTGTGAGGGCTCGGTGTCAGGGCACGGGCCTTTTTGATGAGGGGCCTTATTGCACCACCCCTGCTTGAGAATGCCGTGGCCTCTTCACATGAACTTGTCCGGCACCATGCTCCAGCCATCAACCATATTCCATGTGAGCCAGGACTGCAGCGGCCGCTGAGTGAAAGCTTTGGATAGTGGCTTTCTTCAGGTGTCTCAAGGCCTCAACGCTCTCGAACTAGCTTCATGCACAACTTGATCCAGATCCTCTCTAAGTGCTAGGCATGAAAAATGCAGAGCCGTCGTCCTGACTGTCTTGTCATTTGCACCGACAACGACAAGACGGAAACCGCTTGAAACGACCAAGTCCAAAAAGCCAAAGCGAACCATGGTCCTGCTGGCTGGCCTCGCCGTCAGACCTTTGCACTGGAGCTGGATTGAAGGTTCAAATGAAGCGTATTTTCACCCTTTGCCAAACTCTGCCACATGGCACTGAGCACCGGCTCGCTTGAACAGTTGCACAAGCATTTTTGTCACATCAAGGGGCCAAGCTCTCGCATCATACTGCCAAGCCTGCTGTCAAGCAAAATCTGAAACTATGTCAACAAAAACAACACACAATTCAACCAACCAGAGTCGCATTGCAGCAGCTTGTCAGAGCCGTCACAGCTGTCAGAGCACTCATGCCTCATCTGCAGGCACACGCCACTTGGCCAGGAAGTTGTCCTTGTCATTGTCCTCGCCGCATCAAGGGCTGTTTGCCAGCAAAAAAAACAGGGGAACAGATTTGCTACGGCGAGCCTGTCAGCCTGCAATACACTAAGGAAACGGAAGCCCAAAGTATTGTAATTCACTCTGGTTAGGGAGCGGCCACCAAAACAGCGGCCGCCAAAACGCACGTGATCTGAACCCGAATGGTCTGCACATGACTGCCTTCAATACTTCAAAGGGCATGTGACTTTCTGAGGCCCAAATGGAACTTGCACTCCCCGGGCTATCCTTGATTCGGCACCAAACGCAGTGGAGGAAGAAAGCAATGGACGGGTAGAGCATGATGTAGCGGTAGAAATCTTCGTGGGACTTGTCCAGCATGCCTCCGTAGTAGCTGGTGTCGATGTAGTACCTCCAGCGATTCTTGGTGGGGTCGATGTGGAATTCGGGCATGCCCAGCAAGGCCATCTTCTGGTAGTCCCAGTTGCGCTCGATCCAGCGCATCCAGTGACGGCCTGGGTAGCGCCGCAGCCAGATGATGCTGGAGCGAAGCCACAGGTACACCGGGCCCCCCTTGTACGGGGACATCACCGTCTCCTCGCAGCGCCCGTAGACCATCGGGTAGCTCTGCTCTGTGGGTTCCATCGTCTTAGGCACCTGCGCCGCGAAGCGGCGCAGCCCGAAGCCAAGGGCCCGGGGCTTGAGGAGACCCATGGCTCAGATCGAAAAAGCGCCAAATTGCGAGCCAGCGCTCCGGGGAAAATGAGATGAGACGAGGTGCACGCGCTCGTGTCTCCAAACACTGTGCTTGCCAGAGCTACTTGCTGGACTTGCAATCTAGGTGCCAGGCCCGGGGGGCATGACAAAACCATCGTCGCCTGATTCAGCCTGAAAGCGATCAGAATCCAACTTGGGCCATGGAACGAATCCTTGCCATGCGCAGCTTCTCACGTCCCCAGGGCATGTAATTCCCCCCTTCTATGAGCATGCTATGATTAAAGTGACCGGTGCCATTGCCACCGCGGAGAGGCCTCCGCAAGATCCTGCTCGCTTTCCTGCGTCGCTGGATTAGATGGACTGTGTATGTGAGCTTTGGTTTCACGCCCAAAATTATGTCAAAAACATTGACAGCTGAAATCCTGAGACATCCCAACTCTGACCACAAAATTGAGGTTGGACAAATAGTCTTCTCACATGGAATCAAACGAATGCGCATGCCAGCTTTGAAATCAGACCTGCTTGCCATGAACTCCCTGCGTCATACTTGCCAATGACCAGTTCCAGCTTACATCCTGCAATTCCAAAAGCAAAGCCAGCCCTGCAACCCCTGCAGCTTGGCGCATTACATACAACCCCAGGTTGAATACCCTGCATGCACCCACGCCCCGTACGCCCCCCGGCCTGTGTCTGAAGCTTCTTCACCAACTCAAAGGCACTGGGGCCACAGCGCGGCTTTGCTGCCACCCGACCCTGAGTAGCTGAGGACTGGAACTGGGTGTTTTACTTCCATGTTTTTGCGCCGCGCATTCAGCCTGGGGCCGCCACAAAGCCAGTCGCGATCGCCACGCTGTCAGGCTTGCGCGCTTGGTGCATACCTTCCGCAAACAGGCTGGTCATCCATCTGTTTTTTTCCCGGACACCCATCCAAAAGCTTTGCAAATTGAAAATGCTGTTAGAAGCTCCAGGCACCGCCACCAACAGCAACAACCACAACCACAACCACAAGCACGCACGCATACAACAAACAAACAAACAAACAACAAACAAGCAAGCAAGCAAGCGAGCAAACAAACAAACAAACAAACAAACAAACATACATACATGCCTACCTGATACGTACATTGCATGCATTACATAGGTACGTATCTGCTTACTTGCGCAACATACATATATGCAGAACATGTACATAAGCAAAAAAAAAAAAAAAAAAAAAAAAAAAAAAAAAAAACAACAACATACAGTACATAAATTGCACACATTGCATACATTGTGCATAACACATACTACACACATTACATTACATTACATTACATTACATTGCATTACATTACATTGCATTGCATTACATTACATTACATTACCTTACATTTCATTACATTTCATTACATTACACACACCACATCACATTGCATGCAATACGTAGGTACTGACAAACACACACAAATGCACACATACACACACAAACACACATAGACACATGCACACATACACACATACACACGCACAAACACAAACACACTTACATTACATAGCATTACATTACATTCATTCATACATACATACATACATTGCATACATTACAATACATTTTGCATCAAATAGCAATACATTACATTACATTACCTCTGCGTTTGCATTTGCATTTGCATTACATTACATGACCTGACATTACATTACATTCATCCGTACATACATACATCGCATACATATGTACACGCATGCACTAAGAATATTACGTGCAGTATAAATTACATACAGGACATACACTGCATACATTACATACATTACGTACATTGCATACATTACATACACTATATACATTCCATACATTGCATACATTGCAAACATTACATACATTACATGTGCTACATGCAAACGCAATAATGCATACACGCACACATACATTACATAACATTACATAACATTACATTGCATTGCGTTGCACTACATTGCATTATATTACACTACATGACATTACATTACACAACATTGCATCGCATTGCATTGCATTGCATTGCATTACATCACATTACATTACATTTACATTTGCATGAATTCGTTTATACATGCATATATGCATTCGTACCTGAAGTAAATTTACAGCACATACATACATACATACATACATACATACATACATACATACATACATACATACATACATACATACATACATACATACATACATACATACATACATACATACATACATACATACATACATACATACATACATACATACATACATACATACATACATACATACATACATACATACATACATACATACATACATACATACATACATACATACATACATACATACATACATACATACATACATACATACATACATACATACATACATACATACATACATACATACATACATACATACATACATACATTACATACATACATACATACATACATACATACATACATACATACATACATACATACATACATACATACATACATACATACATACATACATACATACATACATACATACATACATACATACATACATACATACATACATACATACATACATACATACATACATACATACATACATACATACATACATACATACATACATACATACATACATACATACATACATACATACATACATACATACATACATTACATACATTACATACATACATACATACATACATACATACATACATACATACATACATACATACATACATACATACATACATACATACATACATACATACATACATACATACACATACATACATACATACATACATACATACATACATACATACATACATACATACATACATACATACATACATACATACATACATACATACATACATACATACATACATACATACATACATACATACATACATACATACATACATACATACATACATACATACATACATACATACATACATACATACATACATACATACATACATACATACATACATACATACATACATACATACATACATACATACATACATACATACATACATACATACATACATACATACATACATACATACATACATACATACATACATACATACATACATACATACATACATACATACATACATACATACATACATACATACATACATACATACATACATACATACATACCATACATACATACATTACATACATACATACATACATACATTACATACATTACATTACATTACATACATACATACATACATACATACATACATACATACATACATACATACATACATACATACATACATACATACATACATACATACATACATACATACATACATACATACATACATACATACATACATACATACATACATACATACATACATACATACATACATACATACATACATACATACATACATACATACATACATACATACATACATACATACATACATACATACATACATACATACATACATACATACATACATACATACATACATACATACATACATACATACATACATACATACATACATACATACATACATACATACATACATACATACATACATACATACATACATACATACATACATTACATACATACATACATACATACATACATACATACATACATTACATACATACATACATACATTACATACATACATACATACATACATACATACATACATACATACATACATACATACATACATACATACATACATACATACATACATACATACATACATACATACATACATACATACATACATACATACATACATACATACATACATACATACATACATTACATACATACATACATACATACATACATACATACATACATACATACATACATACATACATTACATACATACATACATACATACATACGTACGTACGTACATACGTATGTACGTACGTACGTTCGTACCTTTCATACATACATACATACATACATACATGCATACATACATACATACATGCATACATACCTTACATACATACATACATACATACATACATACATTACATTACATTACATTACATGACATGACATTACATTACATTACATTACATTACATACATACATTACATACATTAATGACATTACATTACATTACAGTACATTACATACCATACTTACATACATACATTACATTACATTACATTACATTACATTACATTACATTACATTACATTATGTTACATTACATTACATTACATTACATTACATTACATTACATACATACATACATACATAATTACATTACATTACATTACATTACATTTCATTACATTACATTACATTTCATTACATTACATTACATTACATACATTACATACATACATACATACATACATACATACAGTACATTACATTACATTACATTACATGACTTTACATTACATTACATTACATTACATACATACATTGCATTACATTACATTACATTACATTACCACATACATACATACGTATATACTTTTCCTACATACATAAATACATACATACATACATTGCATACACATCCATCCATCCATCCATTCATCTATCCATCCATTCATCCATCCAACCATCCATCCATCCCATCCCAACCCATCCATCCCATCCATCCCATCCATCCCATCCATCCCATCCATCCCATCCATCCCATCCATCCCATCCAATCCATCCAATCCATCCCACCCATCCCATCCATCCCATCCATCCCATCCGTCCCATCCGTCCCCTCCGTCCCATCCATCCCATCCATCCCATCCATCCCATCCATCCCATCCATCCCATCCATGCCATCCATCCCGTCCATCCCATCCATTCCATCCATCCCATCCATCCCATCCATCCCGTCCATCCCATCCACCCCACCCCACCCCATCCCATCCCATCCCATTACAATACATTCCATTGCATTGCATTGCATTACATTACATTGCATTGCATTGCATTACATTACTTTACATTACATTGCTTGCCATTGCGTTACATTGCATACATACATGCATACATATGTACGTACCTTAAATACATGCACACACAAACACATACATACATACATACATACATACGTACGTACATACATTGCATTGCATTGCATTGCATTACATTACATTACATTTCATTAAATTGCATTGCACTACATGAGACTACGTTACATACATGCATATATTCCGTTGCATTGCATGCTCATTAATACGTAGGTATATACATATATACATAGGTACCTGAATGACATTAACTACATATAATACATACATACATACATACATACATACATACATACATACATACATACATACATACATACATACATACATACATACATACATACATACATACATACATACATACATACATACATACATACATACATACATACATACATACATACATATACATACATACATACATACATACATACATACATACATACATACATACATACATACATACATACATACATACATACATACATACATACATACATACATACATACATACATACATACATACATACATACATACATACATACATACATACATACATACATACATACATACATACATACATACATACATACATACAATACATACATACATACATACATACATACATACATACATACATACATAGATACATACACACACATACATAACATACATAACATACATACATACATACATACATACATACATACATACATACATACATACATACATACATACATACATACATACATACATACATACATACATACATACATACATACATACATACATACATACATACATACATTACATACATACATACATTACATACATACATACATACATACATACATACATACATACATACATACATACATACATACA